CATACAAATAGAGTTAACCATATCTTTGACTAAGGAGCAAAAGCAATACAATAGAGCAAAGCTGGTCTTTCCCAGAATTGGTGCCAAAATATGAATGCAAAATGTGGCCATCGATTCATGTGGATGCAAAAAAATGAATCTAGACAGGTGTAGGAGCACATGCCTATAGGCCCAGCTACTTGGGAAGTTGAGGCAGGAGGATTCCTTGAGTCCAGAAGTTCAAAGCCAGTCTGGGGAACATAAAAAGATCACAGACAGGGCTAGGGATTTAGCTCAGTGGCACCGCTCTTGCCTCACAAGAGCAAGGTCCTGAGTTCGATCCCGGGTATCCAAAAAAAAAAGAAAAGATCACAGACAGACAGACAGACAGAAAAAAGATGATACATGGACCTTACACTCTCACAATAATTAACAAAAAATGGGTCACTGACTTAACTGTAAACACAAAATTATAAAGCTCTTAGAGAAGATAATGTGGAAGAAAACCCAGATGGTCTTGGGTATGATGATGACTTTTAGATATAATACCAAAGTCATAACCTGTGAAAGAACTGATAGTTAGGTTTACTTAAAACTAAAAAATTCTGATTTGCACAATGTCAAGAGAGTAAGACCAACCCAAGCCTGGGAGAAAATATTTGAAAAAGATATATCTGAATAAAAAACTCTTAAAACTCAACAGTACAGAAATAAACAACCCAGCTAAAAAGTGGTCAAAAGACCTGAAGAGATACCTTACTAAACAAGACATATAGACAGCAAGTAAATATGTAAAAGGATGTTCAACAACATACATCATTAATGAACTGGACATTAAAACAGTGAGATAAAACAAAAACAACTTCCCCCCAGTAAAATACCACTACATGCCTAGTTGAATGGCAAAAATATAGAATAGTGAGTGAAACCACCAAAACTGGCAAGGACGTGCAGCAACTATAATTCATTCCTGGTGGGAATGCAAAGTGGTTACAGCCACTTTCGAAGCCTGGCTGGCAGTTTCTTAAAAACTAAACATATTCTTAAGCTGGGTGTGGTGACGTCCCAGCTCTTTGTGAAGCTGAGGCAAGAAAATCAATTGAGCACATGAGTTTGAAGACAGCTTGACTCTGTCTCTTAAAAAAACAAACAAAACAAAACAAAACAAAACCTTACCATATGATCCAGCAATCTTGCTCACTGGTATTTTCCAAATGAACTGAGAACTCATGTCTACATAAAACCCTCCCCATGAATGTTCACAGCAGCTTTATTCATAAGCGCCCAAATCTGGAAGCAGCCAAGGTGTCCTTCAATAGGTAAATGGATGAATAAACTGATTATCCAGACAATGAAGTATTATTCAGTGCTCAAAAGAATGAGCTATCAAGCCATAAAAAGACATGAAAAGTCTGAATGCACATTACTAAATTAAAGAAGCCAATATGAAAAGACTGTGTGATTTCAACTATATGATATTTTTTTTTTTTTGGTACTGGGGATTGAACTCGGGTCTTTGCGCTTGCGCAGCAGGCGGCGAAACCACTGAGCTAAATCCCCAGACCAACTATATGATATTCTTGAAAAGGTAAATCTATGGAGACAGTAAAACGATGAGTGGTTGCTAGGGGTTAGACAGTAGGGAAGGATGAGAAGGCAGGGCACAGAGGATTTTTAAGGCAGTAAAACTATGCTGTATGATAGTAAAATGGTAGACACATTATATATTTGCCAAAAGCTACAGAATGCACAAAACCAAGAACCAACTCTAATGATGTGTCAGTGTAGGTCCACCAATTTTAACAAATGTCCCCCTAGGGGGTGGGGATGTTGATAGTGGGAAAGGTTGTATAGGAGTGGGGACAGGGAACTCTGTACTTTCCTCTCACTTTTCCTGTGATTTTAACATTGCTTCCAAAAATTTTCTTTTGTTAAAAACAACAAAGCCAGGTGTGGTGGTACACACCTGTAATCCCAGCACTTGGGAGGTTGAGGCAGCCTGAACTACATGGTGAGATCTGTCTGAAAAAAGCAAACCAATCAACCAACCAACCAACCAACCAACCAACCAATCACCCCTCCCCAAACCACCAAACAACAAAATCCACATTGTACACTGCTACTATTTCCATTGTGAAGCTGACAACAAAATGACTAACCAAAATCAAAACAAAACTTTACATATCCAGGAATCACAGAGGAATCACAAAGCAGAATAAACACAAAGAAAGTCACATTTAGCCACATCAAAATCAATCTACTGAAAACTAAGAAGAGAAAATGTTAAAAGCCAGAAGGGGGGAAAACATTTTATATACAGGGGAACCAATGAAAGTCAAGTTTGTAATGAGAAATTATATTACCAAGAAGACCACGGTATATAAAGTGCTAACAGGAGAGAAACCCAGGGGCTTCACAATGAGCTATGTCCTCAGCCCTTTTTTATTTTTTGAAATAGGGTCTTGCTAAGGCACTGCTATGGCTTATATCTAGATGCCTCCCAAGGGCCTCATGCTCATAGGTGGGGCTTTTGAAAGGTGACTGGATTCTGGAAGTTTGCAGCTGGCTTGCTGTTAAGACGTGGGGTCTGGCTAGAAGAGGCAGGTCATTGGGGGCATGGCCTGGAACAGTTTATTCCTTTGCTCCCAGTTCCTCCCTTTGCTCTCTGCATTCTGGTTGGCAAGACCTGAGCAATTTTTCTTCTGACATACCCTCTGTCGTGCTGTTTCTTCTTGGGAGACTGCTGACCATGAACTCAAACGGCCAAACCCTTCCTCCTTTAAGTTCCAGATGTTAGGTATTTTGTCCCAAAGACAATAAGAAGTGACTAAGACAGTCACTGAAATGCCCAATTTGGGCTTGAACTTGTAATCTTCCTACCTCAGCCTTCCAGATTTCTGGGATTACAGATGTTCTCTACCAGGTCCAGCAAAAATACCTTTCAAAAATCAAGGTAAAGTGAAGAAAGTTTTCTCAGGAGACTTATACTATACAAAAAATTAAAGGAAGTTCTTTAGACTAAAGGGAAAAATTACTAGGTAGGACTCTGGATCTCTATGAAGGTATAGCATATTAGAAAAGGTAAATACATCAGTAAATAATATTACATTCATCCCTGGTTATCCATAAGAGGACTAGTCCCAAAATCTACAGATACTCAAGTCCCTCATTTAAAAACATGTGGTATTGGCATATTAGCTACAGATACTCTTGTATGTAAAGAAAATTTAAATCATATTGGATTATGTATAATACTTAATGCAATATAAATGCTATATAAATAGTTGTTATACTATAATGGTTAGAAAGTAATGACAAGAAAAACATTTATACATATTCAGTAGAGACACAATTTTTTCAAAAATTTTTGAAGCACAGTTGGTTGAGTATGTGGATGTGTAACCTGTGGATACAAAGGAACCAATGTACTTTCTATTTTTCTGTTTTTTTGAGTCAGGGTCTTGCCATGTAGCCCAGGTTGGCCTTGAACTCGAGGTGATCCTCCTGCCTCAGCTTCCTGAGTCCTGCAATTACAGGCATGTGCCACCATGCCCAGCTCAGGCCCAATGTATTTTAATTTGTTCTCTTTACTTCTTTAAAAGTGAACTAACTGTTTAGAGCATTAGTAATAATATAGAGCTGAGGGTGTAGCTCAGCGTAGAGCACTTGCCTAGCATACACAAGAACCCAGGTTCAGTCCCTAGTATTCCCCATTGCTCAAAAGTATTATAGCATTTATAACAAATGCAGAAAAACAGTATAAGGCAGCAATACCACAAGAAAGAAGCGGTGAAAATGGAATTATTAATGTTTAATGTACTTACAGTATTATAATGTTAATTAAAATAAATTGTGAAAAGCCAATGACACAAATTGCTACTTTTAGGGCAACCATAAAAAACATAACATAGGGCCGGGGATTTAGCTCAGTGGCCCTGCCGCCTGCCCCGCAAGCGCAAGGACCCAAGTTCGATCCCTGGTACCAAGAAAAAAAAACCAAAAAAAGACCCATAACACAGGGGCTGGGGATTTAGCTCAGTGGTTCCGCCACCTGCCTCATAAGCACAAGGTCCCAAGTTTGATCTTCAGTACGCAAAAAAAAAAAAAATAAAATAACACAAATAAGCATTGCTAAGAAGTTAATAGAGGAGATAAAATGGAACCTTAAAAAGTACTCAATCCAAAAAAATAAAAATTAAAAGAAAGAAAAACAGAAGCAAAGAAAAAAATGAGATAAATAGAACATAATTGCAATATGACAGTCTTAAATAGGACTATAATAATACATATCTTTAAATATAGATGAATTAAATGGTCAGACTGAAAAAAGAAAGACTGAAGTTATATTTTGTTTACAAGAGATAACTTTTTTTGGGGATTGATCTCAAGACCTTGTGCCTGCAAGGCAGGCATGATGCCACTGAGCTAAATTCCCGGCTCTTATGAGAGATATATTTTAAATATAAAGGCACAAACAACTTGAAAGAAAAAAGATCAAAACAGACATACCATGCAATCACCAAGCATAAGAACACCAGTGTGGCTACTGTAATAGCAAACAAAGTAGAATTCCAGACAGACAGTATTGCCAAAGATAAACATATTAATTCCATAAAGATTAAAAAGCCAAAAAAACCCACTGAAATCCTAAACATGTATGTGCCTAATAGCAAAGATTCAAAAACTATAAAGCAAAAATTGACCAAACTGAAGGAAGAAATGGAGAAATCTGTTAGAGTTGTAAAGATAGAAAATAGAGAACCACAGTGTCAAAAAGAGACATGAAGGGGAAGAGAGAGAAAAAGAAATAGATACAGAGCTATGGATAGCCAGAGGGACAGAGATGGAGGCAGCCTGACCCCAAGAAGATGCTGGGTCCCAGAGATAGGGAGCGACTGATCGACCAGAACTGGACCACAGAGGAGGGTTAGAGGTTCTAGTTGTATTGGGTGAAACCAGCGCAGGGGTCTGGATCTGTGGGTTCCTGAAAGGGTGGTTACAAGGTAGACATCATCACTTACCTGCTGCCCTGTGAGCCCTTGGGGGCCCGGCTCCCCACGTGCTCCCTTTGTGTGAGAGAAGAAAGGAATGAAGTTAGCTATTGTGACCTTTGATTTAGGGCCTCTAAGGTTCCCCAGAACCCCCTATCTGAGCCATCTGGGTACTCACTCTTTCGCCCTTTTGTCCTGGGTGGCCTGGGATTCCTTTGAGTCCAGTAGGGCCTGGGGGTCCCTGAGCAACAAGATAGGGCCTTAGTCTTGTGCTGGGGTAGGATGGACTTTCGGGGAGAGGGGTTGGGGAAGAGTCTCAGCTTGGCCTGGCTCTCATATACCTAATGCCCAGCACACAGTGGGCAGTTCATACAGTTCAGTATTAAGAGAACTGGGCCAGACAGTCTCTACTCAACCCACAGATGTTGCCAGCTCCTGGCCACAGCCCCAGGACAAAATTTCTACTTTTCTTGGCCTTAGGCAATAATAATGCTTCTTGTTACATGAATTGAATGAGAAGATGTGTGGAAAGGGGTTTGCATATCAAACGCTCAATAAGAACTTGTTGAATGAATGAATTAAGGGGAGGATGAATAGATGGATGAATGGATAGAAACAGGGTGGGAGTACTTGGAGAATGACTCACCATGTGTCCAGGACTCCCAGGTACCCCCATGGAGCCAGGAGGTCCAGGGGGACCTAGAATAAAACAAGATGTCCTCAGGACTGGAAAAGAGTATATGGCCAGCTGCCTTCTGATAGCCACAGGACTAGTTCTTCTGCAATCTACCAATTTCAACCTTCACACCAGGCCAGGGCTCAACTTACCCATGGGTCCTGGAGGGCCAGGGGGACCTGGGGAGCCAGTGGGTCCCTGCGGCCAGTGATTGCTGGTCTCAGTGAAGGTGTTGGACAGTAATGAGTCTCCTGCAAAAGAAAAGATAGTGAACAGAGTTGGGTAGAGTATGGCAGTGTTCAACAGCCACCTCTGTAAAGTCAGCCCCTATGGCCCTATGGGCAACCACCAGCATGGATGGGGCCCCCAGGCACCTGCTCCCAGGATGGAGAGCAGGGACAGTGTAGGCCACATAGGATTAGAAGGCAGGGAGACCTGTGTTCTAATCTCAACACAGTCTAGATGGTGACATCCAGAAAGTCTTTCTACACTTTATTGAGCCTAAACATTGCCTGTCAAATGAAATAAAAGCTACCACCTATTGACCATCAATAGCATGCCAGGCTTGTATGTGTGGGTATCATGGAGCTCTGGGAGGCTGGCACTGTCACTATCTCCATTGTGGAAATGATGAGTACAAGGCTAGCAGAAGGAGAATGACCAGTGAGATGGAATGAATGGTGGAATGGGAAAATGAAGCACTGAATAGTACCCATTCATGTACCAAAGACCTGATCTAGATAGGGTGGAACCTGGCACTCCATACTCTAATCCCTGGCAGCACAAGGAGAAGGCCAGGGATGCACATCAGGGCTCAACTTGGTGGAGGAACTGGGGCCTCTCTGAGGCCATAGTCACTGCTGTGGCCTTGATTGCTTGGAGTTCACTTCTTGCTGCCAGGATTTGAGCTTCCTGGGACTCTCAGGCCTGAATTTTAGCCAGTTCCAAGTTTGGGGCGGGCCTGATGCCTGGTAGTTCTGAGCAAGTATATCTGAAGCCACTCTCCTACATTCTAGCTGTGTGATTGTACCAAGTGATCTCCTCTCTCTGGCCCTCAGTATCCCTCATCTATAAACAAAGAACAAAAGTGTCTATTGGATAACTGGGTGACAAGTGATCTATGCTGGACACATCTGGCACACAGAAGGTACCTGTCAGATGGTAGCAGGCACAGTGGTGATGGTTACTTTAGCCTCCCCCCACCCCTACCTCAATCTACCAACACCCCACAGGGACTCACCATGCTGGGATATGCGGGCATGAGGTGGCCCAAGGGGGGCTGGGGGGCCTGGGGGGCCAGGAGGCCCTGGTGGGCCTGGAGGTCCCCTCTCTCCAGGGATGCCTGCAGCTCCGGCCTGGCCAGGGTTCCCTGGCGGACCCTGTGAACCTGCAATGAGATTCCAAGAGTTGGGGGTATATAGGAGGCAGGGAGAACTAGGACGGCTTCAAGGGGGGAGGACAAGGTAGCCTGGGCCACTGGGGATGAAAGAGGGGTCTGGAGTCCACAGGCCAGATCTGTCTATGAGGGGCATGAACACAGAATCCTGTCTTTTGTCCCATCCTGCTGGGTTTCCTTTCTTGGGGCCCCATCCCACCACCATCCACCATAGGGACCCTGGTCACATGGGGGGACACTGATGTTTCTCCTCTGCCTGGGCTTCCTCCCATTGGTCTGGGAACTCCCGATGGGCAAGCACTGGGCTGACACCCAACTCCTAGTACCCAGCTCAGAGCCTGCTGAACATAGCTGCCCAAGGAGCATGAGCTGAGTGAATCAAGAGAGAGGGTTTTAGAGAGCCCAGGAGTGGGGCAATCCAGAGAGTGGAGAGTAGAGAGGTAAGTGGGTGAGAGGGGCCAGGACACCTGGCTGTCAGGGTTGGGGGAAAGGCCCTAGCCTGGGTCCATGTGGCTGAGCAGATGGCCAAGGAAGTTGGAGGAATGGGCATCATTCTGGACACTCACCTGGCAGGCCTCTCATTCCTGCTGGGCCCTGGCTACCAGCATCTCCCTTGGGGCCGATGGGGCCAGGCAGCCCTCGAGTACCCAGTCGGTCTAGGGATAAAGAACACGAGGTTGGCAGCTCTGGACCTTCTTTTGAACCATATCCAGCCCTGGCCCCTCAGCCAGCACTCACCATCTTGAGGGAGCAGTGGGGCCCTCACAGTCTCTCTGGCTCCTGGCAGCCCTGGGGTGAGGAGGTGGAAAGGGGTCAGTGCCCCTGCTGGGTCTTGGGGCAGGGAGAGTCACCCCATAGTCCCCTCCTGCAGCTCCACCCTGGCAGGGTCTACTGGGGCTGAGTGGCCTCCCAGGACTCCATGGCTCAGGAACCCCTGAGATCATTCTCTAAGGTTTACTGAAGAGATGGGAAGACTGAGGCCTTCAAGGGGGCAAGCAGTTCATGGCAGAATGGGGACCAGATTCTTGCTGCCCTGATTCCCACATGGGAGTGATTCCCACCTGATTCACTCACCCTGAAGGCCTCTATCTCCAGGGCTGCCCTGAGCAGCTGGGGAGCCCCAGAGTGGGGCAGGGTCTTCAGTGACAGTCAGTATGGCCACCTGTGGAGGAAGAGGAAGACAGGGGTGGAATGGGTGCCAAGGTCTCATCAAAGATAGGCCAGCAGAATGGTCCTGGTGTGGGTGGTGGGAGGCCCATGGTGCTAGTAGAGCTCAACTGGGAGTGGACACCTGGGCTCAGAGGGCCCAGAACTTCATCAGAAGTGACTGTGTCCCTCTCCCTAATGGTGCTGGAGATTGAACCCAGGGCCTCTCACATGCTAAGCAAGTACTCTACCACTTAGCTACATCTCCAGCCCCAAGAGTGACTGTTTTGCAAAGTGTACAATTCATTACATGCATTGTAGAAAAGTCATTATGTACCATCACTGTCGGTTGGCTGTTCTGTGATGGTGTTTGCTGGCCACATAGTTTTTTCTGCTCATCCCATAAATAATATGATGCTTCTCTTGGTCAGTTAAAGCTCCACAGGAATATGACTGTGAGGAATTTTGCTAATTTCTCTCTCTATCTCTGTCTCTCTCTCTGTCTCTGTCTCTCTCTGTCTCTGTCTCTCTCTCTCTCTCTGTTGGGGATTGAATCCAGGGCCTCCTCTACTACTGAGATTTTTATTGAATTTGAAGGAAATGAAATAGAGTAGGAAACAGTGGAGCAAAGTATACACAGATTATATACATGTCTATCTATGTTTGTTTGAAAAATATGAAAGACAAAGATGACTGGAAAGTGACAGCAAATGCCTGTAGCCCCAGCTACTTGTGAGACTGAGGTAGGAGGTTGGCCTAAGTTCCAAAGTTACAAGCCTGTGTAACAGAGCAAGACATGGTCTCAGGAAAAAAAAATGGTGACAATCACCCTCTATGTGTGCATGGGTGCCTGCTGCAAATCAGTTTCTGGAAGGTTTTCCACATTTCTGAGTTTTTCATGTTTCCACATTAAGAATCTTTGTGTACTGTTATATTTCACAATTTAAAAAACCTTCGTATCTTGAAATGATTTCAGATGTGTAATAGATTTGCTGCTAAGTTGGAAGATGGTACTATTATGGGCACACGGTCGGGGGGCAGGGAAGGAGGGGTTCCAGCAATAAGCTCTGGGGAGTGTGCTCATCTGGCTGGGCCTGGCCACACAGGAGGGAGTATCATGGTCTCTGGACGATGAGCAGGGCAGGCCATCTGACTGAGGGGGCTTCTCAAGGGTGGCACTGGAGGACATGGTTGCCTAGGAAGCTGCCAGTCAGGTCCAGGAGGAGCCCCCAGGGCCATGAGTGTGGCAGCTCAGAGCTGCACTGTGGGAATAAGAATATCAGGACACGGGGGTACAGGAAGGGGTAGGGGATGCCAGGGAGCCTGAGGGCAGGGGGCCAGGGGCAGCTGCTCACCCACCTTGGCCTCTAGTGCCTTCAGTCGCTCAGCCAGCTCTGTCACTTTGCTGCAGTTGAGACAACCTGTGGGATGGAGGAACCTAGAACCCTGGGTCCCCCCTAGAGCCCTGCAGCCCTGGGGGGAGGGATGGTGGAAGGAGACAGACACAGAATGATCCCAACCCAGGAGGGAGCTGAGTGCAGGGCGGGCGCTGCAGAAACACTTCAGGCTCAGGATGTACTGTGCCCTGTAGGTTTTCTTCCACTCCAAAGCCTCCAGAGTGGACTTCTTTCTCCCAGAGCAGAATCCAGCATCCCTGCACTTCCAAAGTGACCCCTTTCCCAGAAGCCAGGGCAAGAAATCTTGTTTTCCGCTGGGTGGGGCTGGGGCCTGGGCCTGCCAGCTCTAGGGATCATTCTCGATGGGGCTGGCCTCCGAAGGGCCACCCTTCTGATCCTCACATACAAGCACAGCCCAGTTCCTCTGGCTTACTTGGTGATACCCCTAACTTATTTATGACAGTTCTGGCCAGGTGAGGAGTCTTTAGAAGCTGGACTCACTGGTCTTGGGTCAGGGGAGCATCACCCCCGTTCTTGCCTGAGGAACCTGGGCTCATTGGAAATGTACATCGAGTGTCTCTAGAGCATAACACAAAAGTGCCAGCCCCGGTGCTGCCCTCTCCTCGCTCAGGTCCTGGGGCGGGTAGGGCAGGGTAGAGCAGGGCAGGGCATGTCTCCTCTCTGACTCCCAGTTTCCTTTTCTTTGAAATGGGGTCAACCAGGCCTGGGTTGGGGGTGGGTAGACAGCTGCGAAGTTTAATGAGCTGGTGACAGAAAGCACCTGGCTGGGACCTCACACAGCGCAGACACTCAGAAAAGCAGAGTTTATAGAAAAAGACAAAATTCAGGGCCTCGACCTGAATTTGCAAGAGATCAGGGGTCATGGGTCTTGAGACACCTGGCCCCAGGTCAGACTCCCTTCTGCTCCTTCCATTCTGGCTTAAAGCTCTTTTCAGGCTGGGTGGTAGAGAGTGTGGGGTTCTATCCAAGATGCTTCACTGCTAGACCCAGCTGGATTTTAGACTTACTGCCCTGGGTCCCTCCAGGTCTACCCCATGCCAGGAAGTCACCAAGAAGCTGCCTCAGCACCTACCTGAGAAGGCTGTGGGTCGAAGGGCCATCCGCCGCATGGTGTTGCCCGACCACAGGGGCTCCACAAAGCCAGAGGCACCTACAACTGAAGGATGGAGGGGTGAGAACCCTGCTGGCCTGTGCTGTTCTTGCCTGGTCACATACCCCTGCCTGTTGATGTGCAGGGGCAGACAGAGGGCCAGAGATGGGGAGCAGTTGAGCTGGGTCACACAGCATGAAATGGTACCTGATGGGCTGGTAAGAGCAGCTGGCCATAGGGTGGGACACGGGTTAAGAGGTTAGAATTAGGGCTGAGGATTTAGCTCAGTGGTTCCACCGCCTGCCGGCTGCCTTGCAGATGCAAAGACCCAAGTTCAATACCCGGTACCCAAAAGAAAAAAAAAAAAGAGGTTAGAGTTAACAGCAGGCTTCTGTCACAGTGCTGACACTTATTGACCATGTGTCTCTTTGGATCTGCCAATTTTCTTATCTATAAAATGGGACACTGAGGCTTCTGTCTGTTCCTCTCAGGCTGGTGTGAGCCTGAAAGGATGTGATGTGTTCAAAAGCCCCACTATACACACACAGGGCCTGGCACACAGTAGGTGCTCGATAAATGAGGCTGTGATGGTTGCTCTCCTTGTTTTCCCTGCCCTACTTGGTAAGAAGAGACTAAAGTGGATCCAGCTCTGGTTCTAAATGAAAACCAGAGGGAGGCTGGCTGCTTGTTCCTGGAGCCCACTCCCCCCACTTCCCAGGAGGAGCAGCCTGCCCTGGCTGGTCTGGCTTTGAGGGCCTGGATTTCGGCACAGCTACAGGGACAGGCTGTCCAACCCAATGGCAGGGACGCAGCTGGAGGGGCTCTCCAGCCAGCAGTGGCAACACTTTCCTCTGCCCCCCAGGCCTGCCTTTTAAGGTCATGAAGTGTCTTCTGTGGGGGTAGGTGGGGGAGACAAGATCCAAATAAGGCACAGGCCTGGCAGCTTGGGCTGTGGGTTGAGGCAAGGAGCATGAGGCGCCAGGAACTCAAACCAGACGGGTCCTTCTGGCCAGTCCCCAGTGAGGAGGCTGCCAGGCCCTGCTCCAGTCCCACCATAGGCCTTTGCTCAGGCTCAGCTGCAACTCTAGCACATGGTTCTCAGGGGCCTCTGACTTGGTCAGGCACAGAGGGAAAATCTCCCCAGGATGGAGGAAGGTGGGTTTCCCACCCAGGACTGAGGCAGGGAAGGGGAGACACCACTGTGAGCCATGCCCCTTGCTAAGGGCTTACATAGCCCAGCTTGGTCCTACAAGGTAGGCAGTAACAGTATCTAAGCTGTGCTTAGCCCCCACTCTCTGACCAGTTCCTGCACATTCTAAGAACTTACTATATACAGTATATTTTATTGATTGATTGCACTAGAGCCAATCTCAACAGATGGGGAAACTGTGGCATGAAGCATCTCAGTACCACTTCTCCTTTGTCTCCCAGGTGCAGACGAACGGATGAGTGAATGAGACTTTTCTTTCCCCTATCGGGAAACCAAAGAAGAGAAATGAAGTGACTCATTCAGTCATATCCATGGAGTTCTCCAGGCTGGATCTGAACCCAGGAAGGTCTGACTCCAGGGCTTGATCTCTTTTTGGGGAGGGGGACACCTGGCCAAGTGTCAAGAAGGACTACTGGTGCCTGAGAGAAATGGCTTTGCTAGCTAGCCCTCTTCATCCTTTTTGTTCCTAGTTGAGTAAATGGTCACTTTATTATTGTTTGAGGGTGGGGGCCCAAAGCAGTGGCTGTAACTCCAGCCCTATGTAAATTTAGGTTTTCTCTGTGATGAAGTATTGGCTTCTTCCTGCCCTCTCTGCTACACTTCTATTGTCTTCCTTTTTTCTCATAGTTTTGTTTATGTAACACTGGGGATTGAACCCAGGGCCTCACACATGCTAGGCAAGTGCTCTACCACTGAGCTATATGCCTATCTCAAATTGAATGCAGGCATGCATTTTTACTAGATCCTAGTTTTTGTTTTGTTTTGTTTTTTTGTACTGGGGATCGAACTCAGGACCTTGTGCTTGCAAGGCAGGTGAGGTACCATTGAGCTAAATCCCCAGCCCTGTTTTTTTTTAATAGCACTTTCCTCCCTCTGATATATTACTGACTGAGGCAGTTTCTCAGCTGACTGCCTCTTCTCCTGCCCTTGGATGGAACATCAACCTCACCAGGACAGGGACCTTGGTCTGTCTTGTGTGACCTCACTGGGTACACTAAAAGTTCTGTTTATAAACACACAAAGCATAGGCTGAAAATAAATTTCAAGTAAGCAAAAGCAATGAAAGGCAAAATAATGTGGACGGCAGACACAAACGCCTTGAAAAGGAGCATGAATGTTTCAATGTCACGTGAGGGTGTCTCTGAGTTGTTAATTGGTGGACTTGTGGCTGGAAATTCTTTTTCAACCAATTTAGTTTTGGATATTTCACCAGGAGCCAGAGAGAACTAGAAAAATGAGCAGAAACACAGCCAGGGCAACCATACAGACAGAAGGGGCTCAAAGCAATTTTATATTTCAATTTTGAAAAGAGAGCTTAGGGCTGGAAGTGTAGCTCAATGGTAGAGGGCTTGCCTAGCCTGCAAAAGACCTTGGGTTCAACCCTAACACCACCAAGAAAAGAAAAGAAAGTTTAAAGAAATAACAGAACTGTTCAAAAGGCAAGGAAAATGTTGATTCTGGATTCAAGATTCACAAAAATTACCCCAAACTTCCCCCCTACTCAGTTAAATGGATAGAAATACTTTGAAAGATGAACCCAGTTATAAAAGGACCCTTTATAAAGCACACAAAATCCTAGTAAGGCAGAAGCTGTGGGTTGGGGGATGGCCTTCTGCAGGACAAACATGTTCCATTCCCCCTACTTCTGTCTGGCCAAGGACCCTAAGCAGACTACAGTGGGCTGAGAGAGGCCCCCATCCAAGCCTAGTGGTCGCTCCTGAAGGGCTCTTCCCCTGCCCTGTCTTTGCTGTCCCAGGAGGGCCGAGGCTGGTCCCAGAACACAGACCTAAGCTCTACTCCAGGGCACTTCTTACCATCTGGGAGGTTCCCAACCACTCTACACAGAAGCACACCATGTCCTCCCCCAATCCCTATAGCTGTGGCTCCCATATCATTTATATTAGGAAGCTTTCCTGGACAGACCAGGGCACCTGGTCCAATACCAAAGGCCCTCTTCACACCCTCGTTACTCCATCCCGACCTTCAAAAAGCCAGTGGTCTCTGTAGTTTCTAGTTCTGTGCCTCCTAAAGCAGCCCCTTCTTTCTGCCCAGTGCCAAGTCTATGTCTCTTCTTGTTGGATTCCCATGGCACACAGAACATTAAGAACCAGGCATGGTAGACTACTCCTGTAATTCCAGCTCTCTGTTGTGAGGCCGAGGCGGGAGGATCACAAGTTTGAGCCCAGACTGGGCAACTTACTGAGACCCTGTCTCAAAACAAAAAGAAAACCTGAGGGGGGCCAGGAATTTAGCTCAGTGGTGCCACCACCTGCCTCACAACCACAAGGTCCTGAGTTCGATCCTGAGTACCAAACAAAAAAAAAGAAAAGCTGAGGATGTAGCTCAGCATGAAAGATTTGTATTCAGTCACCAGTACCGCAAAACAAAACAAACAGAAAACACTGAAGCCCAGGAAACAGGAGGCCTACTCTGTCTACACAGCAGGATGTGGGGGACTGGATTCTGAGCCTGCCCCAAATTAGGAATGGAGCTGTGAGGAGTTTAAAGAGTCCTTGAGCTCCACCCCCGTGTCTCTCCCTCCATGAGAGAATCCAAGGGAATGGTCCCTCATTTACATCCCTCCCTCCACCCCCAGGTCAGCACAATTCAGTGACCACAGGCCACAAGGATGCAGCTGCCCCAGCCCCAGCCCAGGTCTCTTGTGGGAATTTGCTTTGCAAATGTAAATATTTGGCGCTGGCCAGCTGGTGACTTGATCCAGGGTCAGAGGTACCTTGAAAAGAAACCTGACCAAGAGGCCTCTGGGAAGCATTGGTCTATGTCTGGCCTGGCCCTTCTGAGGGGTGAGTGGTTTCCATTCAATTCTGTGCCCTTTTCCTTATGCTGGGCTGTGGCAGGCACTGGAGCTATGGGAGTAATATGGGCGGGGTAGGAGCACCAAGAAAGTGACAGGCAGGGGGGACAACCAATTGCCAAGGCCATGGGTGGGCAGAGGGTAAGAGGGAGGGAAGGTGGAGCTGGGTGTGATGGAGAGCAGGGAGGGCAGTCATCCCTCCTGGGTGGGCAGGATGGGTGGGTGGGGCAGTGGGTGACTGCAGGGGCTCCCAGATGGGAGCAGGAGTGGACAGGTGGTGGACAAAGAGGACTGACTCAGTGTAGTCCTTGGGACTCCGCATCTGCAAAGGGCAGGTCAGGCTCATGCCTGGTGCCTGAATGTGTGGGAGCCCCTGGCCTTGATGGTGGGAGAGGCTGGGGGCGTGGAAATACTGGCTGGAATCTCCCGCATATCTTCTGAGGCTTTTGGGCTCTGTGGTCTCAGGCAAACATCCCTACTATGGTTCCCCACCCTACAGGACAAGGGCTGTGAGGGTCCACGGATGGGAAAGGGACACTTAGGCTGAGAAAAGTGGGACCAGTGAAGGGGAAGTGTAGGCAGCCTGGCTCCAGGAGAAGAGGGTGAGCCCTGGCCCCTCTTTCTACTGGGAGATGCCGGGCTGAGACTGACTCACACACTTCCTAGGATGTTTTCAGACAGCCCAATGCAGAAGAAAGACCCCTGACTCCACAATCAGGGTGACCTGCTTGAATCCAGCTCCTCTGCTCAATGCTCTCACCCTGAGCACAGCTTTCTCCTCTCTGAGCCTCACTTTCTGCATGTGAACATTCTGTGCCACGATGTGCTGGCACTATGCAGGTGGGTCAGTGTTGTATAGCCCAGGACAGAGGGTGGTGGTGGCTTTCCTTGTCCTTGTCATTATTACCATGGAAGGGTCTGAGGCAGGGGGATACCACAGACCTCGGACGAGAGCTCTGGAGAGAACCTGGATGAAATGCTTACCTGTTGTGTGATCGAGACCAGCACCTCTCTGTCTTGATCATCTAGTCAATGAGGCAAATGGGCAAGAGACCTGTCTGCAGAGCCCCAAGAAGCAGGGTGACCACAGGGGTGGTCGAGGCAACCCAACCCCTAGCAGAGCCCACCAGCCCAGGGCACTCAGGACTCAGGCCCAGGCCTAGAGATGATTGCTGGGCTCTGACTGCCTTCCTGCCATGGCCTTGGCACTGTACCAGCCCTCTGACTGCCCCTCCTATGAGGTACATTCGAGATTTGGCCCTTTCTCATCCATTGTTTCTGATGAGACCCACTGTTTCCACCAGCAGGTGGCTGGGGGAGAGCCTCAGCCAGTTCCTCCCAGTGATGTCCCGAGTGACCCTAGGCCAGTCTCCTTACCTGTCTGAGTTCCCCCTCAGTTTTCCCTTATGTACCATGGGGCCCATTGTAGCTCTGTCCTCTAAGTGGTCATGAATATCCACTGAGACTGTCCTCCCTCATTGTCACAAAGTGAACATCCCCATTCCATAGATGAGAAAACCAGGGCGGAGAGCGGTGAGGTCCTGACTGGATTCCACCAGGCTCATGACTAAAGTGTGAAGGTTCAAGGTCTGTTTGTTGAGCAGCTAACTGAGGAGCAGATCTCAGAGGTGGGAGGCAGGGCTGTGTCTCCTGGGTCAGCAGAATCCCCAGCACAGGGGTGGAAGGGAAGAGGAAGACATTTATGGAGCATCTACTATGTCCCAGTTGTGACAGCCCATTTCTGACTCCCAGGTAACTGGCAAAGCCAAGGCTCAGAGAGGTGAATGAGTTGCTCCAAGCCACACAACACAGTATAACAAACTGATGCAGGGCTAGTTTTGGAATGACAGGTGTTCCCTCTTATTTGTGGCTCACTCCATGCTGCTCTGGGCACAGTCACTCATGGTGACGCAGCTCTGTGGTCCCAAGGTCACGTCACAGCAATGAGCAGGCCATAAGGGCAACCACCAGTAGGGGAAATAGAGGATGGAGCCCAGCCTGAACCCAGCTGTGAGGAAGGGGAAAGCCCAGGATGGGCCAGCAATGTCCTCATGCCTCCCAACTCCCCAGTGCAGGCCTCAGTGGAGCAATTTTCTGGAGTAGTCAGGTCTGGCATCTGGTCACCACTTCCTTTTCCTCTGTTCCAACCATGTGGGTAGGAGAAGCTCTTCCTATCCCATTGGTCATCATGCAGTTTTCACCTTGGACTGCTCTGGCAACTGTGGACTCTTTACTGCATTATCTCATCCCAGGAGCAGCGCTGAGAACCACTCTATATTACATGCATACTTCACAGGGTGAGGACCAGGAAGCCTGAAGCTGTCACAGAACAGCTTGGTGTCTTCCCTCCGAGTGGGCAGAAGAAGAATACTGCCTGCACTGAGAGGCCCCAGCCCAGTGCTCTTGCACAATGACTTGCACAATGCACAGGGAGTCCCCGGCCCAAGGCCACACAGCTGGTGTGTGGCAGAGCTGGCCTGGCCTAGGAAGTCCTAGATACCCTAGTCCTCAGGCTGAGACCTGAAGGCCCTGCAGAGGGAGCCAGCAGGCCTCAGGGTTGGCCTGGCCCAGCACCACCCCTGCCTCACCAGTGGCAGAGCCCCAGGCTCTCAGCCCAGGCCCGGGACACATGGGTTCCAGCAGCTGGACTCAAGGACACACTCCACGAAGGCCCAGGAGACTAGGTCTGCCCTTGGGAGGGGAACCAGGGACAGAGGACTCTCTGGCTGGGCCCCACACCTGGACGATTCACCCATGGCTCCTCTGTGGCCTCCTTGGCAGCTACTTCTTCTGGCTGGCTGTCCTCTTGCCCCTCCAGCCCTCCTGCCTTCCTCTCCACTGGGGAGGAGAGGGTGCTGTTCCAGGCCCCCAGCTTCCCGTAGTGGGGCATGGCCGCCTCTCTGCTGGGCTGTTTGGCATGAGGACCCTCAGCTTCCAGCCATCTGGTTCCTCCTCAGCTCCACCCGAGACTCCTCCCCCACATCACAACCTGCCAGAGCGCCCCCTTCCCCACTCCTTGGTGAATTCTGTCCCTGCCTGATCCCTGTGCCACTCTGGGCCCCTGACTCGGTCTCTGTGGCTCAGTTGTCCCATCTGTGAACTGGGCCGTAGTAAATCTCTCTCCAAAATCACCTATGAGCAGCGCCCTCTGCTAGCACCACACTTCCTTGACTCAGAGGCTACATTTTCCCGTGTCCCTGCTTCTGGAATCAGGATACATCCTATTATGACAGTCAATTCCTGTGCTGCCTGGGGCCCTGAAGGCCTCTATTTAGGAGGTGGCCATGGGTCAGCTTGTCAGGTTGGTCCGAGGTCAGCTCAGCCCTTCACAAGACCATGCTCATGAACTCAGCTCCTGGTGCCCCTGGATCTGCCACCTGTGGGATCAGCTAGGTGGGCAGTGAGAGTCAACAGTAGCCCAGATGGTTCTGCAAGTTCAGCAGGGAGTGGGCTTCCAGGGAAGAGTGAGGCCAGGCTCCAGGGAGGCCCCAGTGGGTGCCAGGCCCTGAGTCACACAAAGCTGCACACAGAGAAGGTAGGTGGGGTGGGAGATGGGGGAGGTGTCCCTGTGCCTGGGCCATACTCTACATATTGAGTGCACAGCTCAGTCCACCCTCGAGGCCCTGAAGAAATGGAGCCAGGCAGACAGGGCCTGAATTCTGACACTGGCACATAGGAGCTGCGTGTCCATCACCTGCAGGGTGGGTCTCACCATCCCTACCTCTCTGACTGTTGAACTGACTGACACAGCCCTTTGCTTTCATGCAGTGTGTTACCATGCCCCATGGAAACATCCAGATGGGGTTTCCCTGGGTGCTAGTGTTTGGATCTGTGATGTCCCCCAAAGACTCATGTGTTGATAAACTTTTATTCCCCAGGGTGGTGTTACTGGGACATAGTGGGACCTTTAAAAGGTGGGGCATAATGGGAGGTCTTTAGGTAACTGGGGATGTGTCCACCCCCAAAGGGATTATGGGACCCCAGCTCACTGTCATTTTTCTTTTTTTTCTTCCGGGTCATGAAGTGTGCTCCCTGTAACATGTGGTACCTTGCCATAGGTCCAAACCTGCACAGCCAAACAATTAGGAGCCAGAAGTTCCAAAATAAACCTTTTTGTTTTGCTATGGGTAATTGACTGACACACCAAGTTTCACAGACAGACTTGGGATGGTGTGACTTAAAATGTGAGCAGCCCAAAAATGTAGAAGGCCCTGAGAGTCTCTGAGAAGCAAATGGCAACCAGGAGGGAACAGCAGGCTGAGCTATGCCATGCCCAGCAGGTCTGTGCAGTGGGCTCCTGCATGCCCGGTACTGTGCATGTGGTGTATGGCAGGACTTAGCAGCAGGTGCCTACTCCTGTGCATTCCCGGGAAGCATGTGGCCCACGTCATAAGGATGCATGCAATAGCCAAACAGTCCTACCTTCCTCGCAGCTGACTCCTGAGTGCCCAGGGCAGCATCTCCACTCGCGGGCAGTCACTGTCTTGTACATCACCTTGTATGTGGGTCTCACCACAGCTCTGTAGCTGAAAAAGTGTCCCATGGCCCAGTTCAGACAGAGTCTTCTACCACCTTCCTTACTGCCCTGGATGTCTATGGGGACAAACCCAGAGTCCCTGGAGCCTCTGCCACCTCCAAGTCCCTCTGGGATCTCTTTCTTCCTGTAGTCTGGGATTTCAGCCAATGGGATCTGGAAATCAACTGGACAAAGGCCCTGCAAGTGGGGCTGCTGGTGCCTGGCAGTGATACTCACCAAGTGAAGGAAAACAGGTGCATGGTGCTAAACAGCAGAACTGTCCTCCCTTCGTTCCTCAGGAAGCCCTTGGGGTTTCCTCCTGATACAATGCTGCCTTTGCTGCAGCCTCTCCTGGGGTCTTAGCCTTTATCTGTATCCCTACGCAATTCTACCACTAGGAAAGCCATGAGGTCCTTCTCCACCATGGCTCACTTACCTGCTCCCTGGGCAGCTCATGGGCCAGGGGCAGTTCTGCAGCACTCGCTGAAGGTAAGTTCCATTTTGCACATGGCATGAGATGGTACGGGTCACCACATATGAGCACCAGTTCCTGAAACGGACCCAAACAGAGGAGGTTCAGGTGTCAGGTGCAGCCCCTTCCCAGGACTCTGGGAGGATGGGTGAGATGATTTATGTCTTCTCCAAGAGCCCCAAGTCCCCAGTTGGAGAGACCCTTGGGCTTTCAGGATCCTTTGGGCCCCTTTTGATGGAATCTGCACAGCATGTGGCTCAGGGGTGAATTCTATGGCCCTCGAGAGGGTGGTCCATCTGGGGGCTCTCAGTAGGCCTTGTGGAATGAGTTGCAGGGCAAGGTGTGGGCAGCACATCTTTATCAGGGCTGTCCATCGCAATATCTCTTCCTTCCAACCTTGCCCCACCTAGGCCACCATTATTTCCTGACCCCACTATGCCTGGCTGAGGCCTTTGGAAGAGAGATCCCAGAAATATATCTTTGAAACTTACAAAAATCTCAACTACTCATTAGGAGAATCATTTCCAGCCTGGGGTTAAGAGGGAAAGCTCCGGTTTCGGATGGACCTGTGTTGAGCCTCTCATCATGGATGTTCTGGGCAGGTCCCAAACATGAAAGCCTCAGACTTCTCATCTGGGAAATGGCACTTGTAACAGTGGAAAAATTCAAATGAGCCAACATGTGGAAGACCTGGGCACAGCTCCTGGTACGCAGCAAGTATGAAAAATGGAGTCTGCTGTAGTCCCAGGAATGGACAGAATAGAGGGACAGACAGCTCTCCTTGCCCCAAGGTGCCAGTTTGATGAGAATGTAATTTTTTTCTCTAAGTATAGTTATTTGCTTCTGCTTCCCATCTCTGCTTCTTCTCTTTCTCTCTTCCTCCCTCCCTCACACCCTCTCACTTTAATAGAAATGCAACTGTTCTGTAACTCTTCTTTTTTTTTTTTTTTTGGTACTGGGGATCGAACTCAGGACCTTGTGCTTGAGAGGCAGGAGGCAGAACCACTGAGCTAAATCCCCGGCCCTGTTCTGTAACTCTTGGTCTGGGCTTTCCCTTAACCAGATGTGACAGCTGGCTCTCAGGTCAGCACATAGAAACACTGGGTTCTGTCACAGAATCTAGTTTTGTGCCTGTGGTCCCATGGCTATTTAGGTTGTTCCCAATTTTGAGCTGTTCCCAGAAGTGTGATAGGAAGCACCTGTCACCTGTGCCATGGCTGGCTGGCTAAGGACTCTGTTGACCTCCTGCTGTGTCATGGGCCAAACTGAACTGTTCCTTCTGCCACTTTTACTGCCCCCCTACCCCTGCCTTTGCCCAGGCTTTTCTTCCTCCTAGACTGATTCTAGTGTGGCCCAGAGAGATGGAGGGACTTCCCCAGGGTCCCACAGCCTGACTGGATTAAGTCCTGGTTCTTTCTCTTTCTGGTGGGCCAGAGTGGGAGTGGACAGCAGCTGGGGTGTTGCACTGCAGTGGGACTGGAAGTCTCTTCAATAGCTGGGACATTCCAGGTGCTCAGCAGCCCTCAGCCCTGCATGGGGTCACAGGCCCAGTGTTCTTGGCCAGGGCCGGGGAGGGAGGGATGGTTTCAGGTGACCTTTCTCAGCCTGGGCTCCCTGACACCATCAGACTTTCCTTCATGACCTTGAGCTCAGGGTCAGCAGGTTCCCAGGATGGGACCTTCACAGAGCCACAGACCATGGCTTGCTGAGATGGGAAAGGGATGAGAACTGAGGCCTCTGGGAAGGTGTCAGAGGTCAGGCTGCCCTATCCATATTCCAGCTTACCTTCCTGAGCCTTAGTGCCCCCTCTACACCACGGGAAAGTGCCTTTCTCACTCACCATTGGAGAATGCCGTAAATATTCTTAGTATTCAGTAGGTGCTTACTATGTGCAGTGCAACATGGTTTTAGTGGGCATTTGGAGATGTCAGTTCTCCATGCGAGCACACTGATTGTGTAGCCTGGTGTCACACAGGGAACACGAGGACAAAGCAGACAGGGCCTGTCCTTTTCACATACCAGTAGAGGGGGCCAGGCATGGTTACCACTTTATTCTGCATGACAGGTGTCCAAGAAGCCAGAGGATCCAGGATGGGGAAACCACTGGATCTGCTCAGGTTGGGGTGGACATGGGAAAGGGATGGAGGAAAGACGTGACAGCACAGTGGGCTCTGAAGGTAGGAGATGGCACACGGAGAAGGGAAGGAAGCATGCTCTAGACAGTGGGCTTAGGGCAAGCAAAGTCTGGAAGGGAGGGAGCTATGGTAGGGGTGGGTGTAGCAGACCTAAGGGCTGGGCATAGGGGGCTGTGGGGGAGCATAAAGAGGAAGGGACAGGGGCAGGTTTCCACTTTATGACACTATAGTCAGTGTGATGTCACGCACCTGTAGTTCCTGCTACTAAAGAGGCCGAGGCAGAAGCATGCTGAAACATGGAAGTTAAGGCTTACTGGGCAACACAGTAAGACCTCAACTTAAACAGCAGCAACAAAAGACTCCTATCCCGTAGAGCCTCAGATTCCTAGAATGGAGGTTTTGAATCCATTGGAGTTTTTTGTTTGAAGGGTTGGGGCACAAGCACTTTTGGGAAATTAATGTGAATTGGGGCTCTTCCCCTCAAAATGCTTAAAACCTGGTGTACAAGTTCAGAGGGCTCAGAAGCACCCTGCGAGCGATGTGAAGTCTTCAGACTAACCCAGTTCTCCTTGAGTTAAGGGGAAGGGAGGGAGCACTTGGGCCAAGGAAAGCTGGAAGCTCTTCATACAGAGGGAGGTCCTGGGCACAGAAGGAACTCTCCCTTCTCAGTGTGCAGAAGCACACAAACCTTCACATGTGTGTAAATGCATGCACATACAGGAGCAAACAAAGACACACACGGAAACACAAGAGCATATGCACCTACAATGATGGACACATGCATGCACATGTGCACACGCACAAATCCATGGAAGTATATATGCCCATGCACCAGAACAAGGCAATCCAGCAGGACAGACAGCTACAGACACAACCTTCCTTCCTGTAAATGTGTCTGAATGTGAACACACTCACACACATGTGCACACATGCTTTCTCCTGTGGACACAGGACATTTGTGGTTGTGTCCTCTACAGTGCCCACAAGCACATACAGGGCGATGTACCCTCATCCATGTACTTAGGTGCACACACGTGCACACACACACACCTGTCACACACACAACAGGCAGAGACAGGCCAAGCAGAACACAGAATGCTGATGCTCTCCCTCACATGTGTCAACACACACATCCCCCCACTCAGTTCCTGGACTAGGACAGAAAGGCCTGTAACTGTCCACAATTCCCTGAGATGTCCTTTTTATTAGTGATGGGGGTGTTGAGAAAATTATTTTTTTCTTCCTCTTTAATTAAAATCTCCCCTATGAAGGTCCCAGCCTGGTCCCTTGGTTTATTTCCTATAAGCGTGACTTTGCTTGAAACCCCTGCTCAGGGAAGACAGGGAGCTGTTGGCTGGCCAGCCAGACCTTCTAAACAGGCAGAGACCCTCAAGCCAAGTGGGGCTGTAGATCAGCCAGCCGGTCCCTCCACCTAGAGGTCATCAGTTACCACTCCCATGCCAGCTTTGAGGACACATCCCATTCATTGCCTCTCAGAATAACCCCAAGCTCTGCTATAGGGCCCCACCCGTCTGTCCACATTCCAGGGGTAGTAGGAGGCTTTGTGTAAAGCATGGCCTAACATTGCCAAAGTCCACCATGGCTCCTCATTGCACTGCAAACCCTGCCTCCTCCATCCTTCATCCTACATGCAGCTCACATCTGCCATACACTCATGCTGTCCTTTCTCTCACCTCTCATCTTTGCAATTGGGGATTCCTCTGCAAAGGCTGCCCCCTTGCCCTGGAAAACTCCTAATTATGTTTTGGGTATCAACCCCAAGGCCCAGGTGGGACTGGATTTGTCCATGGGGCCACCTCAGCCTTTCACAGTCACCCTGAGCTTTATGGGTTCTGAAGGGACGGCCTGCGAAGAGATCCAGTCAGGTTAGGGATCAGTTCACAGGAGCTCAGGGATGTTTGCGGAATGACTGAATGAGAGAAAACACAGCTGGGGAGCTGAAGTAGAACCTTAGGTTCCTAGAGACAGATGCGGTACTTGGACACTCTGCCTCCATCCCTGCTGCCCCTGGGGCCTCCTGACTGGGGTGTGACCAGCAATAAGGCACCCAGGAGCCAGGTGAGGTTGGATGGTGAGGTGGGGCAAGGGCAGGGGCTGAGAGACTGCATATTCCTCTTGGTCCTGCCACTTCTGCCCACTCAGAACCTCCTGGGCCTCCACAGGGCTCTGGGAGAAGAGAAAACAGGACGACCTGCTCAGCCTGGCACTGGTCACCCCCATGTCCTCACCTCCTCCCAACACCAGCCCTCCACTCCCTGCCACAAGGGGCCCAGGGGACTTTGTCTCCACTGGGCCCAGGGCTGCGATCCGGAACAGTGATAGGGGGTAATTGCAGGAGGCAGCCAAGCGGGCCTGGAGCCAAGGGCCCTTATGAAAAGGAGAGGAAAGAACAGAGACAGGAGGAAGGGGGCGGGGTGACAAGAGCCAGAACCCCACACTGGGGGTGCCGTTCCAGTCCTGGCTCTGCTGCTGTCCAAACTGGTGGCCTTGGACAAGGCCCTGACCCTCTCTGACCTCGCTTTGTCCATCTGCAAATGGGGAGAGCAGAAGAATCTCCTCCGGACAGGAAGCTTCATGAAAAGTACTTACTTAGCATGGTTCTCAATGTGATTGTTAATTCTTGTTCCTGGGCTGCGATCCCATAGTCAGACACGGGCACCCTAGCTGGTGGCTGTGACCCAGGAGCTTCCCTTTGGCTTGAGGACACCAGCCCAGTCCCTTCTCCAAAAGGACAGACTGTCAGGCTCTGCAGTTTACAGAGCGGGAGACTGAGTCTTCAAGAAAAGGCACCTGCCTGGTTCCCCATGTGGGCACAGACGTGGGATCTGAGCCACGGAGAGGGGCTGGGGCAGATGCCATCATGTTACAGTTCTTTACTCCTCCTCACCCTTGATTTCCCCAAAGGAAGTCAGGACTGCAAGGGTTAGAGGCCTGGGTCAGGACACCAGTGACAATGATGGTGACTGCTCCAACTCTAGAGCCACTGTGCAGAGATGAGCAGATTTTTTTAAAAAATGGAGATTCAGGCTGAGAAAGACCTCAGAGGGGCAGGAAGCAGCCCCATCAGGGACTGGGGCTTTGGAGGGGGCAACAATGAGCCAAGGCAGCTCTAGATAGCCAGGGGCACCCTGACTGGGGGGGATCTCAAAGTCTCACCACATTCCTGCGGCTGGGGGAGGCCCCTTGGATGCCTTCCCAGGCCTCCCCCTCCCCAGGGACAAAGCGCTTTTCTGCCTTCGGTCCCTTGGCTGCCAAGGGGTGCCTGGGGCGCCTGGCTGGGAGTGGGGAGAGGGCTAATGGGGCGTGACATCCCCATGCTGTCTCCAGTGATGCTGGGACAGGGCCACAAGGGGAGGTCCTGGCAGCCGAGGACCATAGGCTCCTCTGGATCCAGGTCCCTCCCCACAGTGAATGCTGGTGATAGCAGGAGTGCTTTACAGGAGGTTCCATGCTGGTCCCTCGGGGCACTGTACACTCTCAGAACAGACTCCCCAAGCAGGAATGAGAACAACAAAGAGGAAAAATGAGATAGCCACAAAGTTACCTGCTTAAGGTTGCACAGTGAGTGACAGAGTCAGGAATAAAACCTTGTTGTGCCCAAAACCAGAGCCCTAAACTCCCAATTATGACCTCCAAACCTTCTGAGACCCCCAATCTCAGACAACCTCTTTCCCTAACACAGAGGACTGTTGGGAAGGAAGAGATGCTGGATTTGCAAACTTCTTGGCCTGGACTGTGATGCCCCTTTTCCTCTCTAGGCCTCTGTCTCCTTATTTATAAAATAGGAGGAAGAACAATGCCAACATAGCTTGTGTGACACTCAGGCCACTGTGACAGCCTCTGTAAACAGATGAGATGGCAGTCCCCAGTGACTACTAGATACCTACCCACATTTACTGTCCCGTTCCTACCCAGGGAACCCTGGGTGAGAGGAGCCCAGTTTGGGAGGCTCAGCCTCTGACTAGCTTCAGGGAAGGCCAGTTCTTACACTCTCTGCATCCTTATCATGAGCTGGGATCCTGATGTCTCACACCCACACTCTGGGCAGGCTACTTTCCCTTGTGAAGCCTTGGCATTCTGCTCTATGAAACAGGGATCTTAAAAAGCAAGCCTCAAATGGAAGGTGGGATGATTCTGGAGATCAGGGATGCAGAAAAAGTGCCCAATCCGAGCCAGCCCTGGCTAGCTAGCACACAGTAGGTAGTGGCTGTGACATGCAGTGACAAGTCTGTCGCTGTCTCAGAAAACTGTTCTTCTGACCTCTGATGCCTCAGCCATCTCCTCCAGGCCTGCCCATGTCACCTGCTTTCTCTCGCCCAGCAGGGGCATGCTGGCCCCTGACCACTGGGAATGAGGAATTTCTGAAAAGAATTAAAGAAGTGAGGCCTTAGGAGGTGGGAGTCAGGCTGGCCTTTGAATGGGTTGAAAAGCCCTTGAAGGGACCTCGCTAGTTCATATTGTCTGCCTTAGACAAAGCAGGCTGGTCCTCCCAAGTGGGCCTGGGCAGGGGCTGCAGGCCAACCAGGGACTACAGCAGGTTCAAACTCTGTCATTAAGGCCAGAAAGTCAGATTTGAATCCCAGCTTTGCAAGCCCATAAGCCTGGATGATTATGTCAGTTTTCTGGTCTCAGTCTGCTTATCTGTTGAGTGGGGATAGTTTTCTCTAACTTCTTCAGTCTTGAAAGATTAAAGATGACCCTAACTATAAAGGGCTTTTCCACAGCACCAGATGCTGGGAGAGATACTCCATAAAGTTCAGCAGCAACAATGTTCCTAGCAACATGTTAGAAAAGCAGCAGGAAGATCAAATGCTCTGTCCCTCTCTGTGGAAAATGCCAGGTCCCCAGAGAGCCTCTGACACTGACCCACTGGGCTAAGTCTCCACCCCAGTTCTTCCTTTAAGGGAAATAAATAGCCTAGGTACTAAAAAAAAAAAAAAGCCAGGAGCAAGGAAAAGGGGCGGAGGTCCCCTAAGTGTGCTAAGAGGTGTGCCCGACCTTTCCCATGTGCAGGGGGAGGGGCCCTCGGGCCAGGGTGACAAGTCCTTTCACCCCTCCCCCTCTAGTCGTAAACTGAGGCTGCCAGCTCCGGACACATGGGTAGGGAACTCCGGAATCCCAGGAGTCTCGGCCAGAGAGCTCAGTAGCTGGGTGGCTTAGGTCCAGTCTGGCACTGGGGTTGGGGACGCAGTCACCTTCCTAATCCCGCGAATGCATGGAAGTGGTGGTGTGTGAGTGCCCGGGCTCCTGGCTCTCATGCTGGCCTGGCAGGGGACAGGGTTGGGAGAGCCCTTACCTGCGTCCGGAAAACGGGGCGCCTCCGACGGACCACGCGGCGCCGCCTCCCGTGAGCAGCAGTCCGAGGCAGAGCAGCGCCCAGGCCCGCGGGCCGCCCATGCTGTGCCGGCCGCCTCTTGCCGCCGGCCCCAGCCTGCCGTGCCCGCTCGCCGCGCCGCCAGCCTCCAGGACACACAGAGCCGGGTTCCCAGCACGGCGGGCGAGGGCGGCGCGGAGCGGGCGGGGCGGGGGCGCGCGTTCCCAGCCTCGCCCGCCCTCGGCGCGGCCCCCCGCCCCCTGCGCCGCCGCCAACCCGGAAGGAGCCCGTGCGGGGCGCCCCCTCCAGAGGCCTGCTGGTGCCCACCTGAGTCCGCGGCCCTTTTGAGCGTGGGTCGCAGCTCCGAGGTGCCCTCCTACATGTTGCAGATGGGGAAACCGGAGCTATGGCTCATGGTCGCAAAAGTAGCCAGGACCTGAACCCACCACACCTAAGTGAATGATGGGAGCTCAGCCTTTCTTCACGCTATCTAGTTCCTGAACTATGCAAGATATGCCTCTCCATCCAACAAAGGCAAGAGCAGCATTAGGCTTAGGGTTAGGGTTGTATGGGGAGCATGTCACCTCCGCCTGCCACCTTGTCTCAGTTTAATCTTCAGATCTTTCTGTGCAAGGTGCACACGATTATCCCCATTTGAAGATGAGAAAAGTGAGGCCCAGGCCCTCATGGTTGCCCTAGGAGAGCTGGGCTAGCCACATAAGTACCGGGTCCACTCTAATTCCCATTTTACAGATGGAGAAACTGGGATGTCATCCACCTAAAGCACCCGGACAGCGGTTGGCAGAGCCAGAATTTGAACCCACATCTAAGATAAGGATTGGCTAAGGGTGGAATTTCTTCATCTGGGACATGGATGAACTGGGAGGAGGGCTGTGTGTCCATCAAAGATGTATGGAAATGTGTGTGTGTGTGTGTGTACAACGTACATGTGCATGTGTGCGATGTGTGTCTCTGTGATAGTAGTGTGTGTTTGGGGGAAGAACCAGAGTTCTCATTATCAAAGGAGACCTAGAAACCCCCAGCTTCCCAAAACAGTCTCTACCCTGACTGTCCTCTTGCATTGTTGTGTGGGAGGCAGCCTCAGGTTGGGGAGCCCCTTTCTCAGCTCAGACAGGAACAGAGGCCTACTCCTCCCATGGCATCTCCACACCCAGGACCTCTGGGGTGAAACGCTGGAAACCTCCCACAGAAGGGATTTGTCAGCCCCACTCTGATTTCTACAGCTGCATCTCCAGGACTCAGAGTAGCAGCACCAGGTCCTGGCCTAAGTTAGGATGAGTGAGACATCAGCAGTATGTACACTTGCTGGAAGCTGATGTCTTCTCCTCCCAGAGGAGTGGCAGTAAGGGATGGGTTCAAACTCTCCCTCTGCCATTTCTGCCCCTGGTAGCTTGGGCAAGTCATGCCCCTCTCTGAGGCTCAGTTTCTCTTTTGTAAGGAGGACAATTGCATGTTCCTTTCAGGGGTGTGGAGTGAATGGAGATGTCCCCTGCTTCACATGGTCCCCCAAGAGCTCCCCACTTCCTTGGATGGCATCATAACCATGCCTCTTTGGGGGAACTGCCTCCTTCCCTTCCATGTGAAATTATTAAGTGCTGTCTCTCTGACCCTGAAGAATTGCAGCTCTGTGCTCCTCTGGTTAGCTCTTGATTTTGACACAGCTAGGTGACTCCACCCCACCCCTATATGACTTGTCACTCTCAAGGGGCCATGGCCCAGCAGGATCCCAGGCCTGTCTGAAGTCCCAGTCAAGTGCCCAGGATTAAAACCCATCACCCCAAAGGACACTTTAAAGAGCATGCAGGGGGTGAGGATTTAGCTCAGTGGTGCTGCACCTGCCTTGCGAGTGCAAGGTCTTGAGTTCGATCTCTGGTACCAGAAAGAGAAAAAAAAAAAAAAAAGCATGCAGCTGTTTAGGAAGGACAGGCATTGGCCAGTGGCTTCTGTCCTGGAAGGTTTCTTGGAGGGACTGAGAGGTGTCTGGACCCCAGATGGGTGCCACGGAATGTGGAGGCACCACCAGTTCTGTTAGCCATGTGTCTGGGTTGCTCCTGTGGTGAATAGCTTCCACGTCCCTTAACCAATGACACTGAACTTGTAGGAGCTTTAGGCAGCTGCGAAAGATCCATTTCCCAGCAAAGGACTCTCTGTGTAGAAGCTGTTAGCAAGTTTTCACATCAGAGAGTGGCCTGTCCTTGCTGAGGCTGGGATCCCCTGGTTCAGAATATGTATAACTATAGTCAGATCCTGTGTCAACGAAGCCTGGTAGTCACCGCATAGGCTTGGTACCCCATAGACCTGAGTGTCCATTCCAGAGTGATCACTGAGAGCTGCATGGACCTGATTCAGGTCCCTCCCCAAGCCAACTTTTCTTGCCTGAACAAACAAACTATAGGGTCTTTTTATGATCTATTCCCCTGGCTCAGGAGTCTTAGGAAAGTGTAAAGCTCCCCATCTCCCTGTGGTGTTTCCTGGGCACAGCCATCAGTTTCTTGATGGATTTTAGCATGCTTTCTGGTCTAGTCTCCCTTTGAATGGAAAGGCAGGGAATGCTGCAGGGACCAGAGATTTGGTCCTTTGAGGTTTCAGGGTTTGCTGAGACAGAGAGGAACCGGGCCGGGTAGCTTCAGGTCTCAGGGCCTGTCCCTGCATGTAGAGCCTCCCCCCTGGGAGCCTGGTCCCTTCTACTGCTAAGACCAGACCACAGCTGCCAGTAAAGACAGCAGCTTCCATTCCCGACAGCTGACAGTGTGCCAGGCGCTGTGCTAAGCATTTTGCTTGCATTGTCTTTTGCCCTCTTCTCTGCCACTGGGGAGGCAGCTTTATTGTCTCCAGGTGTGGGGCTCAGGGGTGAAGGGGGCTCTCTCTCCAGGCCCAGGCTGGTGAGTGAGGGGTGCCAGCTTGTGTGCTATCCACCAGAGCACACTGCCACCCTCTGGCCAAGCCCTATAGGGGACCTTTTTGGGGGGTAAGAAAGAACTTGGCTCTCATTTGAGCTCCCATCTGGAGGCAGAAGAGACCAGCAAAAACACATGGACACATATGCAGACCTGGACCCACACACTTGGGAACCACACAGGGACACACCCAGGCACTCTCCCCTGGAAATAGCCATGGGGTCTGGGAAACAGCCTGTCTGGTGCAGATTTGCTGACCCATTCCCTCAGCCTAGTTCAAACAGGAAATGCTTTTCTCCTAACAAACAAACCTGGGCTGAGCTTCCTTCCCCCGTGAACTCCCTCTGGCTTCAGCTCAGGGTCTTTGTCCTCCTGCTGTGTACCAAGGGACACCCTTCCCAGCTAGGCTAAGGGTGTAAGGGTGTGTGTGTGTGTGTGTGTGTGTGTGTGTGTGTGTGTGTGTTGTGCCCACAGTGCCAGTGCTGTTCACACAACAGTGGCCCAGGTGCCTGTGATTAGTACCCAAATTATAGGTGAGGAAGTAGTCCAAGGGGGCTCCAAGCCTGGAGCCTGGAGCAGCAGCCCCCAGGGGCCCAGGCCTCATGGCTGGGGCAAGGTCCGAGGCCTTGAAAGGCAAGGGCCTGGAAGTGCAGTCTTCAGAGCTCTGCTCAAAGGGCAGGGCCTAGGGCGGAGCCTTCCCAACTCCTTCCAGGTTGGTGAACAATGTGAGGGGAGGGGATTCTCCTTACAGCTCCTCATCTCAAAGCCAGCGGCACCCCACCGGGCCAGATTGTTGTGCGAGCCCCAGAGCCTGCGGCGGCCGCTGGAATTATTTATGCTTCCTAGAGCTGCCCTCCTCACCCAGCTCATTCCTTCCTCCAGAGTGGGGACTGGGGACAGAAGCTGGAAGGGAGTGAGGGCAGGAAGGAAGCTGCCAGAAAATCATAAATTAGGGCTCTGGGAGGGCCTTTCTAGCCTCCTCAGGAATCTTGCAAGGAGAGTTCTAGGTCTTTTGGGTTGGCAGTGAGGGAGGGAAGACACCAGAATGATTGGGCCAGACAAGCAATCACAGGAGGACGGAGACAGCTTTCAGAGTTAGGGGACCCAAATGATCTGTGTCGTCAAGAGAGTCCTTTCTCGGTGGCCTCAGTTTCCCCAGTTAGAAAATGATGATATGAGGACTTGGGGACTTTTTTGTGACCACGTTTTGTTGACTGCCAAGAAATAGAGAAATGAGAGTTCTCCTCAACTGTATATGTTCCCTTCCTCAAGTAGCTTTCCCGAAATCCTTCCTTTCCAGTTCCCAGCCACTGGTACCTCTGACCCACCTGCCTACTCTGGAGTCCTTTACTTCTCTTTCCACACCTCTCCCCATGCAAAAATGAACTAATGGGGCCTCATTATTCAGCATCCACCTATCTAGTAGTAGAGGGAAGGGCTGTTGGCTCATTCATACTACAGTATGAATGACGTTTCAGTGTCTGATGTGGGAGGATGGGGCCTTAACAGAGATCCCTCTTCATTTAAACCCTCAATCACTGGTAGTAGGCTTTTAGCCTGGTTGGGGGGATATTTGGTTACCAGAGGGCTAAGAATATGGTCTTCAGAGGAAAAGGTATCTATTTCCCAGCCCCAATGAGGAGAAGCCCAGCCCCTGCTGGATGCATCTGGAGTGGCCGCCTTGACTCTGAGGTTAGAGGGATCCTGAAGGAGCGAAGGGCAGAAAGAAGACCACCCTGGAACCAAGATCCTAGAGCTGCTCATCAGCTCTTCCAGTCCCAGGGGGCACCAACTGGTCCACGAGCATGCACCCCCTCAAGACGAATGCCCTCTATTTCTGGGAAGGAGCTTCTGAAAGGAAGGAGTACAACAACAGCAGGGAGGGAAGGAGGGAGAGAAAGAAAGAGAGATTCAGAGAGCTAGAGATGTAGTGAGAAAAGCTGAAAAGGGAGCATGAGCCAGGAAGCCAGAGATGGAGGGAGACCAAGTGAGCCAAGGAAATGTCGGAGACAGATAGAAAGGCAGAAAAGGAGTCAGACAGGCAGACAGGTGCAGAAAGGGGGACTTTGGGAAGAGGACCCAGGTCGTTGGATTTGGCTCCCATGGGAGCCTGGCAGAGGGTGTAGTTCCGGGGCGCTGGCCCAGTACTGCCCCTGAGCCTCATCTGTCCCTCAGCAGTGCGCAGGCTGTGGCCTTGCCCAGATCCCCGCCCCAGCCCCCACTGTGGGAGCTTGTCCTTC